GAGAAGGAGAAGGAGAAGGAGAAGGAGAAGGAGAAGGAGAAGGAGAAGGAGAAGGAGAAGATAGACAAGGAAGAGGAGGAGAAGGGGAAGGAGGAGAAGAAGAAGATAGATAAGGAGGAAGAGGAGAAGGAGAAGGAAAAGAAGGAGAAGGAGAATATAGACAAGGAAGAGGAGGAGGAAGAGGAGGAAGAGGAAGAAGAGAAGGAGAAGGAGAAGGAGAAGGAGAAGGAGAAGGAGAAGGAGAAGGAGAAGGAGAAGGAGAAGGAGAAGGAGAAGGAGAAGGAGAAGGAGAAGGAGAAGGAGAAGGAGAAGGAGAAGGAGAAGGAGAAGGAGAAGGAGAAGGAGAAGGAGAAGGAGAAGGAGAAGGAGAAGGAGAAGGAGAAGGAGAAGGAGAAGGAGAAGGAGAAGGAGAAAAGGAAGTCCACTCTAAAAGGCTAATGTTTGGGCCAGACAAAACCAGGAGTTATCTTGAAGATGGGCAATCTTTTGTTCTGAAATTATGAGTTATTCTTTCTGCAGGATGGAGGCTCCTCACCTCAACATTTAAAGAGAAACCAGGCCTGATAGAATCAAAAGCACATGTGGGGCAACCTAAGGCATGTACCAAAAATTTGGGACTATCCCTTGCACACTCCTGAAAGGAAATTGCTTCCATTCCGTATTTTTGATATGTATTTCAGAATGATAGATAACCTTAATTGTACATGAAGTTTACATTTGAGTTGCCTCCCTAATTCTTGTTGAAGGTTTCTGAACATTCACTAAGTCAAGTAGTCCAGTTTTAAATCTTTATATTAGGGCATTTTGGGGGCAGAATAACATTTAGATTAGAATTTATGTATCCCAATATTTTAAATAGAGAACACTGATAATTTAATTTAATTTTTTTTAAAATGCCTTCCGAGATTTGACCAGGGCACAGACCTCAAGCACCAACCTTTGACCATAATTTGAACCTCAACGGCCTTTCCTGATCCCATAAACAACCGCAACTTGGTTCCCCCAACCTTCAGAATGGATGTTATAGCTTAGATACGCAGTGCATAATTTCACCACAAATTTTAACTTGGGGAAAAACATAAAGAAAAAAAAGAGATGGAAACTGGTTCTTTGGGGTGGGTGGGGGAGGTGGGACATATAGTCTGCAAAGTTGACTAAATAAAGCCCTAGACTTTATTTGGGCTGGTTGTTTTCAAAATCTATAAAGGATCCAAGTTCTCATGAGGTCCTATCACCTCTGTCTGACCCACGTGGCACTCCGCCTCTTTAATTTGTGTCTTGGTGGTGGTGCCTTCTGTCAAAGACCCACAAATCTTAATTCCATTTTCCTGAAATGCCTAGGGTGGCCTCTGTTGGTCTCACCAGATGCATCCTTTGCCAGAAAACTCTACCTATCAGATTATATCTAAGCAGTGAGAATGCTTATGAACACTCCAGAAGTTCACACAACTTCAGCCAAAACCTTTCCATGGATTTGCACAGCCATAGGTACCAAGGAACCACAGACTTCTTCTACCACTACCTTCCCTGCTGAGGATGACATTTATTTCTACAAAGACTACTTTTCCTGCCCACCCTGAGATCCTGCTTGCACTGTCCCTCCTTCTTTTCAAAAGCCAGCAAACCTTACCCCCAAATCGGACACTCACCTTTATCTAACACAGGTCCAAAGATGGCCAAACTGTCGTTTACTGTGGTACAATTCCACCTCCTTCCACGAAACTGGTGCTGGCATTCTTGGATGCCAATCTTCACCCCTTCAGCTACGCTGGGCATGATCTCCACATAGTTCCGGCAGAAGCGAAGCTGCTTGGGCACTAGTCCAGGAATGCTACCACAGAGGATGGGCTGGGTTCCCAGGGAGGAATACTGATGTCCAATAGCCAAGGACCTTAAAAAGAAGAAAAAAGGACAGAGTGGGAAGTCTGTCCCCCAAAAGAAGTCCCCATCTGCCTCGTCTTGATGCCTCCACAAGAAGAACCAAAGTTGTTGAGAGCTTGCTGGAGTCTCCTGTCCAACCTTGTGATGAAGGACTTGCTTCAGAGATACAAGGGCCTGATTGAATTCACTTTGGAGCTCGCGTGACCTCCTTGCACGTGGAGTATTTGTGGCCACCAACACATGAGACGAGGCTGAGAAGTGGGCTGGGTCATTTATGACACTGCATGTTGTGGAAAAGTAGCCCTTGCCTTAGCATGTTGGGGGGACCGATGCTTTAAACCAGAATATTTGCCTGGACATAATGTGTTGGATCAAGAGTCAAGTTTGCTCATTCATTTAGGGACCAACTTGCTCAGTGAAGAGATGCTGGGCTGGAATTATCATTTTATTCCTGCGAGCATCGACTTCCTCTCTCGTGGGGCTAGCTTGTGGGGGTTTTGCTTTGGGGGGATTTTTAAAAATGATTTCATACATTTAGGAGTTGGCGTCTCTTTTTTAAAAAAAAGATGAGCAACTCATGGACACTTCAGCAATGCGAGCCCCTGGATAATGAAAGGCTTGAAAGAAACGAATAATGTCGGAAAACAGTAGAATATTTCATGACATGAAATGCTGAACTCATCGCAACCTTGTATGCATTCAAAAGGGGTGAATCAGAGGCGGACGATGAGGTGAAGAAAGGTGTTATCACAACTCCTAGCAGTGTCAATGAGTTTGGACTCCTTAAAAAAAAAAACCCAAAACTCAGGGCAAGCAGTTTATAAAATATATATACAATTTCCAGTTCCCTGAAGCCAGCATAACTGGTGTCTGCTGGGAGTAAGACCCTTAGCTTAACCTGCTCTTCTCTCGAAACTTCCTAGCAAGCTGAAATCTAACTTTTTATCGGTGGGGTGGTGATGGCAATTACATTTTATCCATTTCCCCAAAAGGAAATGCATGATCAATTCCTCCCCCTAATAAACTAGGCATAAGAGGCCCACGTTTGCATTCGAGGGACATGGATTAGAGTCATGACCATTTCAACAGAAATCTTATACATGGAAGGAAGAGCTGAGAGGAAGGGCTTTAAGTATCTGCAACTCAACAGCCAAGGGATGAGTGAAACTCTGATCGTCTGTGTTCTTATGACTTTATTGCTTTGCAATGGAATTGGATCAGACTGCTCTTCAGAGCAAGGCCTTCTTGAAATAAAATATTATCCTCCATAAAATAAGCTCTATGTCAGTGTTCCTCAACCTTGGCAACTCTAAGATGTGTGGACTTCAACTCCCAGAATTCCCCAGCCAGCTGGGGAATTCTGGGAGTTGA